CTTATTGGAGTCATCTATAAACTCACAATTCACGTTCCCTTTTTCACTGAAGATTTTTGCTCCTTGCTCATGGTCACTTTCTTCTACACTTCTCCTTCTGTACTTGATGATTTCAACAGCCACTAATGTTATACTGAAACTTTGAACCCGTTAAATAAAGCCCCATTCTGCCCTCCTCATGGCCCCTGGAAACCACCATTCTACTTTCTTTCTCTGTGAATTTGACTACTCTAGGTACCTCATACAAGTTGAACTAATTTTGTAAAGTTTGCATTCTTTGTTATATGTGACCACATAAGTCTCTGTTCTGTCAGATCAGAAAAAAATAAAAACAGAAGAAGAAAAATACATACAGAAATAAGGAATTATCTTCCAGACTGTGCAGATTGGCTTTCTGTGTGTTGGGTATACCTGTAACACCCAGCCAGGCAATTCATATCTCTGCCTTAGCTGAGCAGAAAGTCAGCCAGGGGTGGAAGTTTAGGGCCTTCTTAGGTCTTTTCTGAGCATGTTCCCAGCTCTGGGGATGGATGTGGCCTTCTGGATTTCCAGGAATTTGTGAGTTTTTCAAAGCCCTTATTTCCCAAAGATTCTCATTCCCCAAGTATCCCTGTTAAGCTTTTCAGATTGTCCATTGTTTGCCTGAACTGTTATCCCTTGCCCCAAGTGATACTGGTAATAAATTTGTTTTCAAATGTTTTCTTTTATTTTCTTTTTTTCTTTTCTTTTCTTTTCTTTTCTTTTCTTTTCTTTGTGTGTGTGTGTGTGTGTGTGTGTGACGAGTTTTGCTCTTGCTGCCCAAGCTGGAGTGCAATGGCACTATCTTGGCTCACTGCAACCTACGCCTCCTGGGTTCAAGCGATTCTCCTGCCTCAGCCTCCCGAATACCTGGGATTACAGGCACCTGCCACCATGCCTGGCTAATTTTTGCATTTTAGTAGAGACAGGGTTTCACCATGATGGTCAGGCTGGTCTTGAACTCCTGACCTCAAACAATCCACCTGCCTTGGCCTCCTAAAGTGCTGGGATTACAAGCATGAGCCATCGCACCCAGCCTCTACACTTCTATTATAAGAGTACTGCATCCCCACAGTCTTGTCAGCAGAATGCGTTTTCAAATTTCTATACTTTTGTCAATCTAATAAGTGAAAAATAGTGTTTCAGTGTGGTTTTAATTTCTATGCTATCCTGTGTGAAACTGAGGATCTTTTATATTTTTAAGAGACATTTGCCCGGGTGTGGTGGCTCATGCCTGTAATCCCAGAACTTTGGGAGGCCAAGGAGGGTGGATCATGAGGTCAGGAGCTCGAAAGCAGCCTGACCAAGATGGTGAAACTTCGTCTCTACTAAAGAAAAAAAAATACAAAAAAGTTAGCTGGGTGTGGTGGTGGGCACCTGTAATCCCAGCTACTCCAGAAGCTGGGACAGGAGAATCGCTTGAACCCAGGAGGTGGAGGTTGCAGTGAACTGAGGTCGTGCCATTGTACTCTAGCCTGGTGACAAGAGCGAAACTCCATCTCAAAGAAAAAAAAAAAGACACTTGTATTTACTTTTTCATGAACTTTCTGACATATACTTTAATAATTTTAACTTGACTGTGGTTTTTCCATGTTTTTCTGGGAGCTGTTTACGTATTAGTGTGATCTCACTTTAAATACATGACCATTAATCTCAATTAGGCATTTGTGTTGCCCAGCAATGCCACTGTTTTACTATTTTCCTAAAACATTAGTCAGTTCATTCTCCTGTGCTCCTAAGTATTTCATAATTTCTCCTTTCTCTTCAAACTTCTAACAACTTTTCTTCCACATTCACTTTCACCTTATGTTCTATTTCACTGCAAAATATATCAATGCTCTTCAGTCAAAGTCCAGGAGAACCACAGCTGTAGTTGGACAACACTGTGTTTATTGACTCATTGCAATGAGGGTGAAAGAACACCATGGAGAACCATGAGGACATCTCAGTGAAAGGGTGTTAGAAAGATCTTACTACAGGATTTGAGTCTGTGTTCAGTGATTTTGCGAGGAGGATTCAAGAAGTGGAGCTTTGTCCCGGATTACATACTGTCAATAAGATGTGGTTATTCGGATTGGGTATCTTGATACCTCTTATCTAGAAGGTAGGTGGAATAAAGTGAAGCTAAAGCTGTGGTTGGGAAAGAGGCAGCAGTCAGTCATATTACTTAGCATAGGGACACAGTCATTTCTGTGGTTTGAATGATGTCCACATTTTTGTCTGTGTTTAGACGTGATTACCCAGTGGCCTTCTTTTTGTCTTATTCTATCATGACCATACAGTGGCCTTGCTTAATATTGGTGTTCTGTGACATTTTTTATGTTTAACAGAACACAGTTTATGCAAAGTTTTGCAGAATGAGGATGGAAACCTGTCTTTTATTGATTTATCTTATTAAGTAATTTGTTCTTTAGTATGTCATATATATTTAAGAAATATGCTCATGGCTGGGTGCGGCGGCTCATGCCTGTAATCCCAGCACTTTGGGAGGTTGTGGTGGGTGGATCACTTGAGGCCAGGCATTTGAAATCAGCCTGACCAATGTGGTGAAAGCCCATCTCTACTAAAAATACAAAAATTAGCCGGGCATGGTGGTGGGCGCCTGTAGTCCCACCTACTCAGGAGGCTGAGGCAGGAGAATTGCTTAAACCCGGGAGACAGAGGTTACAGTGAGTCAAGATTGTGCCACTGCACTCCAGTCTGGGTGACAGAGCGAGACTCTCTCAAAAAAACAAAAACAAAAACAAAACAAAACAAAGCAAAAAAGAAATACACTCAGTGTCTGACATTTTGTGGAACTGGATTCAACTCTTTTCCATCTCTTCAACTTTACATTATGATTTTTAAATATATGTAAACAGTAAAAGAACAACTGAATAGTACTATACCCTCCACTTAGGTCCAGTAATAAACATTTTGCTATTTTGTTTTCTCTGTGTATTCATCTTCATGGAAGCATTTGGAAGCAAGCTGCAGACATGGGGATACTTCACTCCTACATACTTAAATTTTTTTTTTTTTTACATCCCCACGGATAACAGGGAACTCCTAAATATTTTAGTGTGAGTTTTCTAATAATAAAGACACCCTGCAACATAGTCACAAATTATTATTATTATTTATTATTATTATTTGAGACGGAGTTCCACTCTTGTTCCCAGGCTGGAGTGCAATGGCCCAATCTCGGCTCCCTGCAACCTCCACTTCCCAGGTTCAAGCGATTCTCCTGCCTTAGCCTCCCAAGTATCTGGGATTACAGGTGCTCACCACCACGCCCGACTACTTTTTGTATTTTTAGTAGAGACAGAGTTTCACTATGTTGGTCAGGGTGGTCTAAAACTCCTGACCTCAGGTGATCCTACCATCTCAGCCTCCCAAAGTGCTGGGATTACAGGCATGAGCCACCACGCGCGCGCTCTCTCTCTCTCGTTCTTTCTTCTCTCTCTTTCTTTCTTTCTTTCTCTTTTTCTCTTTTCTGGAGATGGGGCCCCGCTATATTGCCAGGCTGGTCTTGAACTCCTGGACACAAGCAACCCTCCCACCTTAGTCTCCCAAAGTGCTGGAATTACAGGAGTGAACCACTGTGCCTGGCCTAGGATGTCTTTTTTATAGCTGTTTGGTTGGGAACTCTGAACCCCAAATATCTGAGACAAGTCTCAGTTAATTTAGAAAATTTATTTTGCCAAGGTTAAGGACACACCTGTGACGCAGTCTCAGGAAGTCCCAGTGACATGTGCCCAAGGTGGTTGGGGTACAGCTTGCTTTTATATATTTTGGGCAGACCTAATACATCAATCAACACATGTAAGATTTACATTGTTTCAATCTGGAAGGGGAGACAACTCCAAGGGGGAGAACGGGGGGCTTTCAGGTCATTGGTACATTTACAATTTTTCTGATTTGCAATTGGTTGAAAGAGTTATGGGAGGCCGAGACGGGCGGATCACGAGGTCAGGAGATCGAGACCATCCTGGCCAACACGGTGAAACCCCGTCTCTACTAAAAAATAAAAAAAACTAGCCGGGCGAGGCGGCGGGCGCCTGTAGTCCCAGCTACTCGGGAGGCTGAGGCAGGAGAATGGCGTAAACCCGGGGGACGGAGTTTGCAGTGAGCTGAGATCCGGCCACTGCACTCCAGCCCGGGCGACAGAGCCAGACTCCGTCTCAAAAAAAAAAAAAAAAAAAAAAAAAAGAGTTATTATTGACTGGGAGCTGTTGCTTGCACGTGTAATCCCAGCACTTTGGGAGGCCGAAGCGGGCAGACTGCTTGAGTCCAGGAGTTCAAGACCAGCCTGGGCAACATGGCGAAAACCTGTCTCAACAAACAAACAAACAAGTAGTTACGCATGGTGGCACGCGCCAGTAGTCCCAGCTACTCGAGAGGCTGAGGTGTGAGGATTGGTTGACTCTGGGAGGTGGAGGTTGCAGTGAGCAGAGATTGCACCACTGCACTCCAGCTGAGATAACAGAACCAGAACCTGTCTCAAAAGAAAAAAAAAAAAAGTTATGAACAGTAGAAAGGAATGTCTGGGTTACAATAAGGGGTTGTAGAGACCAAGGTTTTATCATGCAGATGCAGCCTCCAAGTAGCAGGCTTCCGAGGGAATAGATGATAAATATTTCTTATCAGACTTAAGGTCTGTGTTGATGTTAATAAGGCACGTCCAATCCCCTCTTTCATCATGGCCTGAACTAGATTTTCAGGTTAAATCTGGAATGCTCTTGGCCAAGAGGAGAGGTCCATTTAGATGGCTGTGGGGAGTCTTAGCATTTTATTTTTAGTTTACAGAACCAAGAATCTGCAATACTTACAGCAGTTAATCAGTAATTTCAATCCTTTATTGGAAGGACCAAGAGTTTCCTGGCCTGGCACGGTGGCTCACGCCTGTAATCCCAGCACTTTGAGAGGCCGAGGGGAGCAGATTGCCTAAGGTACGGAGTTCGAGATCAGCCTGACCGACATGGTGAAACCTCGTCTCTACTAAAAATATAAAAATTAGCCGGCCGTGGTAGCAGGCGCCTGTAATCACAGCTACTCGGGAGGCTGAGGCAGGGGAATCGCTTGAACTGGGAGGCGGAGGTTGCAGTTAGCCTTGGCACTCCATCCAGCCTGAGCAACAAGAGAGAAACTCCGTCTCAAAAAAAAAAAAAAGTTTCCCGAGCAATTCACGTTTTCGTACATCGGGGCAGGGTACGCCATTTCCTGGGAGGCACAGGAGTTTGTGGTTGGGAATAGGTAAGGCTCCTTGTGACCCCTAGAAAGACAAGCCTCCAGGCTAACCCAGTAACACCCTCGTCAGGAGTCCTTCACGGCCGCCGGAGGGCGCAAGGAGCTGCGGCTGGAAGTACTCGGAGCGCCGGCGGAAAAGGCGCGCGGAGCCCGTAGCTCGCAGCGCGCGCTGGAGGTGGGCGCGGGGCGGTGCCGCGGCGGCGAAGGGAGCCGCGATGGAGGGCGCTCCGACTGTCCGCCAGGTAAGCGGGCCTCGCTGGGGTAGGTTCCCATCGGTGGCTTTACCCGACTTTTTCTCACGGTGATTGCTTGAACCTTCTCAGATTACAGTTAATTCCTCCCTTCCCTTTCCTTCGTGCTCTTGGGAGTAATGTGGAAAGTTGTTACGCAGGAAACGGTTTCCAGTGCCTCTGCGAGCGCTTTCCCTACGGGCGGTGGTGGGGACATCTGCTTTCCTGTGGGCGTTGAGGGCTTGAATTTGATCCCGAAATGTCCTGGTGCGGATGTCTCAGTCCCAGGCCCCTTGGGTCAGGCCCCATGGTCGTGATTCTGACCCAGTGTCACGTTTTTCCAGCCTCGTCCCCTTCTTTTCATTCTCAGCCCTGTTACAAGCGTCCGGATAGTTTAAATCACTGTGCTGTCAGCCAAGTTTTGATTTCAACTAGTCTAGTTTTGTCATTTGTTTACTACCTTACTTGACAAAAGCGTTCTTATTAATATTCAGGATGAAACCCCGCTTTTATTGGAGGGGCGCCTGCGTTTCTGAACACCTCCTGCTACATTGGTTTGTGTGTATATATTTTACTTTTAGAGAACTGTGGTCAGTGCTATATCTTCTGAAGAGCATTGTGGTTTACAGATTGGTGGAGGTACACAAATAATTGTTGAATGAACAAGTGAATGAGTGTGTTATTTCACTTGATTTGAAAAACATTACTATGAAATAGTCAAGCTGGATATTCATGAACCCAATCAGTCACTGATTCAATTATGTCCCTGGCACTGGGTGTTCGGGATTAGATGGTGATTAACACAGACGTGATCCCTGCTCTTAATAAGTTTACTGTCTAGACTCGAGATAAAATTATTTCCTCTATTGTAGAGTTAAGGAACAGATGTACAGAGATTGACTTTGCTAAGGACCGCACGGGTAATAAGGCAGAGAGACAGGAATCTATTGTAGCCACCCCAGAAAGCCAGAATGGACCCCCACCCCAAATTTGATTCAGGTGTAGAAACTGATGATGCCACACACACACCATGAGGCTGGAGTGCAGTGGCGCCATCTCGGCTCACTGCAAGCTCTGCCTCCCGGGTTCACGCCATTCTCCTGCCTCAGCCTCCCCAGTATCAGGGACTACAGGCGCCCGCCACCACGCCTGGCTAATTTTTTGTGCTTTTAGTAGAGACGAGGTTTCACCGTGTTAGCCAGGATGGTCTTGATCTCCTGACCTCGTGAACCGTCCGCCTCGGCCTCCCAAAGTGCTGGGATTACAGGCTTGAGCCACCACCGCTCCCGGCCCTGAAAAAATGTTTTACTTACATAATTAAGGTCTCTGGGGAGAGCAAGGCAGGCCTCTCAAGCAGCACCCAAATGGCTTCAGAGAGCCTCAGGAAAAAACTGGCTCCATGTCTTTTTTTCTGATTAGGGTTAGGGAGTGGGGCCAGGGTAAGAGGTCCAGTATGCAGACAGGGGATTGCTTGAATTTCCCACCCAAGATGAAGGAAGGAGCACCCAGACTTTCTTATCACTTACCCAGATGAGGTACAGAAGAGGAGGAGGGAGGGGTGAGGCAAACAAAGTAGACTGAGACTGGTAATAATTTACCCTTGATGTTTGATGACTGACATGAACCATCTGAATTTGAATTCGACTTTAAGTAAGCCATTGCGGCCCAGTGCAGTGGCTCATGCCTGTACTTCTAGCACTTTGGGAGGTCAAGGCAGAAAGAAGTATCTCTTGAGGACAGGAATTTGAGACTAGCCTGGGCAACATAGCAAGACCCTGTATCTAAAAAAAAAAAAAAAAAGAAAAATTAACCAGGCATGGTTGTGTGGCACCTGTAGTCCTAGCTATTTGGGAGGCTGAGATAGGAAGATCACTTGAGCACAGGAGGTTGAGACTGCAGTAACCCCTGTTTGTGCCATTGCACTCCAGCCTGGGTGACAGAGACCACATAATTTTCAGAAATTTAACCAAGGTGGTAGGCCTTACACTATGTGTGGCTCAGTGGCCCATCCTCCTTTTGTGAGCTCCTTTGTGAGTGTGTCAAAAGACTGTCCTCAGAGGAGGATGTCATCAATGGAATTTATACTTGTGCTCCTGGGGAAAATCTGGTGCAATTAAGATTTTTCCTGTAAAGGTTGCGTATGAGGGCAAGACTGTGTACTCTGTGGTTAGCCAGCTAAAGAGATATTGTGTCTCTCTGGAGGTGAAGACCAACTATGGCTGAGGAGGTGTTGAAAGAGACACTGAACAGAACATATTAGCCAAATCTATCACAGCAAAATATTTACTAGTTGTGGACTGAATAGTCAGTAATTTCAATAATATTGGGTATAGGGGCCTTCCTGGGTAAAATGACATCATGGAGGATGTGGTAATGAACCATGAGGCACCATTCATTCTTACCAAGTTTAACAGGCCAAATTGGGCTGTTAAGTGGAGAAGCAGTAGGAATAGTTACTTTCTCACGAAGTAGGTGGTTTTTTGTTTTTTGTTTTGTTTTTTTTTTTTTTTTGGTGAGATGGAGTCTCGCACTGTTGCCCAGGCTGGAGTGTAGTGGCATGGTCTCCCCTCACTGCAACCTCCACCACCTGGGTTCAAGCAATTCTCCTGCCTCAACCTCCCAAGTAGCTGGGATTACAGGCACGTACCACCATGCCCGGCTAATTTTTGTATTTTTTTTTAGTAGAGATGGGGGTTTAACCATGTTGGTCAGGCTGGTCTCGAACTCCTGACCTCGTGATCCGCCCGGCTTGGCCCCCCAAAGTGCTAGGATAACAGGTGTAAGCCACCGTGCCTGGCCGAAGTAGGTCTTACATAACAAGTTTCAGTCTTTGAAGGCCCTGTTTTGTTTTATATTGGATTGTATAATTTTAACTGGGCACTGAGAGTGGCGGTCCACAGGGTCTCACTGTTTTGTTTGTTTTGAGACAGAGTCTTGCTCTGTCACCTGGGCTGGAGTAAAATGGTTCAATCACAACTTACTGTGATCTCCAGCTCTTGGACTCAGGCAATCCTCCCACCTCAGCCTCCCAAGTAGCTAGGACTACATGTGTGTGCCGCTATGCCAGACTAATCTTTAAACATTTTGTAGAGGGGGGTCCTTGCTATATTGCCCAGCTTGTTCTCCATACTCTTGGCCTCAAGTGATCCCCCTGCCTCAGTCTACCAAAGTGTTGGGATTATACGTGTGAGCCAACATACCCAGCCTGTGGTCCCACTTCGTTGAAAGTCAATTTGTAAGCTCTAAAGACTTGATTTAAATTTAGTTTATTACTAATTGGGACAGAGTGTCCGTGGCCACAGTAGGATATTTTAGGGCAATGTATACCACGATCAGTGGAGTATTTAGGCAAAGGAATAGTTCGGATGGTTAAAATGAGGCATACCTATTTGTTGTCTATTTTTTGTTGAATAACTCCTAAGATTGTAGGGGATACCTTGTTTAAATTTAGTGGGAACTCCAGTTATAACTGTAATTTGAGACCCAATATTGATTAAAGCCATGAAGATTTGCCGTTTGCTGCATTTTAGCAGATGTTGAAGTTAACTTAGAACCTATGTTGTAGAGGTACAAAAGCCAGTCTTTTATCTTTTATTATATAAATTATCTTAATAAATTCTGTATGTTTTATTAGATCAATTTATGGACTTCAGTTTCAGTTTTTTTTTGTTTTATTTTTTTGCTGTTGTATGTTTCCTTCCCTTCTATCCAGGTTTGTTGGTTTCTCCCTCTCTTTCTGGAGGTTGCTGGATATAGTTCAGGTGGAGGAGGTCCTCTCTACCCTCTCATGTTTACGAATTTCTTTCTCCAGAGAGCCTCAAATCAGTAGCATCATGGTTAGGGGCTTCCCCCATGGCAATGGTTATTTATAGGGTTTAAGAACCTCAAGTTTGGCCAGGTGCAGTGGCTCATGCCTGTAATCCTAGCACTTTGGGAGGCTGAGGCGGGCTGATCACGTGACATCAGGAGTTTGTGACCAGCCTGGCCAACATGGTGAAACCCCATCTCTACTAAAAATATAAAAATTAGCCGGGTGAGGTGGTACATGCTTGTAATCCCAGCTACTCGGGAGGCTGAGGCAGGAAAATCGCTTGAACCTGGGAGGTAGAGGTTGCAGTGAGCCGAGATCGTGTCACTACACTGGAGCCTGGGCGACAGAGTGAGACTCTGTCTCAAAAAGGAAAGAAAAGAAAAGAAAAGAAAAGAAAAGAAAAGAAAAGAAAAGAAAAAAGAAAAGAACCTCAAGCTTAAGTGGAGCAGCAGCAGCAGCAGCAGAGGTATTTAAGGATCCTGGTTCACCATACGCTGTTTTTTTTTTTTTTGGTGGTGGTGTTGTTTGTTTGAGACAGGGTTTTGCTTTGCCGGCCAGGCTGGAGTGCTGTAGCGTGATCGTGGCTTACTGCAGTCTTGACCTCCCAGGCTCAGGCAATCCTCCCACCTCAGCCTTCTGAACAGCTGGGGCCATAGGCACCTACCACCATGCCTGGCAAATTTTTTGATTTTTGTTTGTAGAGACAGGGTCTCACTATGTTGCCCAGGCTGGTCTCAAACTCCTGGGCTCAAGAGTTCCTCCTGCCTCAGCCTCCCAAAGTGCTGGGATTATAGGCATGAGTCACTGTGCCTGGCCCATGTGCTTTTATGATTTTATGACTACTCCTCCTTACTCCCCTACTCCATATTCTCTTTTTTCTTTTTTTAACTCCCTGATGAGTGCTCTTACTTGAGCAATTGCCTAATGAGCCAATATTTTTTTGAGATAGAGTCTGGCTCTGTCACCCAGGCTGGTGTGCAGTGGTGTGATCTCAACCCACTACAACCTTCTCCTCCCGGGTTCAAGCAATTCTCCTGCCTCAGCCTCTGAGTAGCTGGGACTACAGGCCACCATGCCTGGCTAATTTTTTGTATTTTTTAGCAGAGACAGGGTTTCATTATGTTGGCCAGGCTGGTCTTGAACTCCTGGCCTCAAGTGATCTCAAAGTGTTGGATTACAGGCATGAGCCACCTCGCACAGCTGACACATCTTATTCATTTGTTTAAACTCCATTGTTTTTATAAATCAGAGCTTATTTACTAATTTTTCTATTGATGGACAGTGAGGTTATTTCCACTTTTGTAGTATTAACAAATATTCTTGACTCTGTATATTAAATTGCTGCATTGCAGTGTATGTCTATCTTCTTTCCTACTGGGCTTTGCAAATTGTTCTCCAAAATAGTTGTACAAATAGACACTCCCATTACATTGTATTTTTATGATTTATTATTACTCTAGCAGACTGTGCACTTCTGGAGACTGAGGAATTTGTTTTATTCATCTTTGTATCCCTAGTGCCAACCAAGCTATCTAGCACATAATAGTAGTTGGAAAATCTTTGTTTCATGTATAAATGTATGAAGTTGGCTGGGTGAGGTGGCTTATGCCTATAATCCCAGTATTTTGGGAGGCTGAGGCAGGAGGATTGCTTGAGCCTAAGAGTTTGAGGTCACCCTGGGCAACATAGTGAGACCTTGCTTTTACAAAAAAAAAAAAAAAATAGCTGGACATAGTGGTGTGCACCTGTAGTGCCAGCTACTCAAGAGGCTGAGGAAGGAGGATTGCTTTGGCCCAGGAGTTCGAAGCTGCAGTAAGCTATGATTGGGCCACTATACTCAAGTCTGGGTGAAAGAGGAGACTCTGTCTCTAAAGAAAATAATAATAAAAAATAAAGTAAATATATAACTATATGAACTATTGAAGCAAAAACATATTTATTATTGTCTTTTAAATGTTGTCCTTTTAAAATTAATGTATATGTTGTGAACATTAACTTTTTTCTTTTTAAAATGGTCATTTCTCAATAAATAATTTACATGGTTTGATATTTGTTTCCAGGTGATGAATGAAAGGGATTCAAGCCTTGCCGCTGAGTTACAGGAAGATGTAGAGGAAAATCTTAGTCCAACTGTGGAAGAGAATAATGTGGTAGCTAAAAAACAGGGGCCAAATTTACATAATTGGAGTGGTGACTGGAGCTTTTGGGTAATTTCTTTTTTTACATCTTTATTTTAATCTTGAATGCAAATTTTGTTTAAATCTGCAAGAAGTCATATTTGTAAAATTTCCTTCTTAGCTTCTAAATTTTAGATGTTTCAGTTTTAGTCCGGAGTCCTGAAGACATTTCTGATTATACTGTCCTTTGACCACTAGAATGCACTGTTGTCTGGTTCGATGGAATGGAATTATCTGCTTCAATTTCCTTGTGTGAAAACTACACCACGGAAGTGGATTCCACTTACCCTGTAGCTCACTGTATTGTCAAGAGACTAATGTTATACAGAAACCATATTTCTAAGTGTTGCTGAGAAGCCAGCTATTTGATATAATTTTGATTTAAAAAATTCATTCCTGTGCCTAAAGAAAGTTTAGCAATGTTCAACCTATAGTGTATAATGACTGTAAGATGGTTTTAAAGTTAGAAGCTACGCATTGTTTTCATTGTGTTCACTCGGTTGTGTAATCTGGATGTGCTTCAGGTTTCCTCACTGTAAAATGAGACTACTGCTTGTTGACTACGCACATTAAGATCTTAGAGTCTTTTTGGAAGAACAACACTTCTGTATGTTACAAATGCTAACATTTATTATATTAAAGAACTCATTCTAAGTCTAGCAATTCCTATGAGAGTTATGAACTGTTTGATAGAATCTGGTATGATACAACTATAAGTGAAAATTGTATAGGATGGTAAGGCCTGTATAGTTCCAATTAGTTCATTAGAAAGCTGATCTCTTGGCTGGGTGTGATAGCTCATGCCTGTAATCCCAGCATTTTGGGAGGCTGAGGTGGGCAGATTGCTTGAGCCCAGGAGTTTGAGACCAGCCTGGGCAACATGGCAAAACCCAGTCTCTACAAACAAACAAACTAACAAAAATTAGCCAGGTGTAGTGGCACATGCCTACAGGCTACATCCCAGAGAGAGACCCTGCCTCAAAAAAAAAAAAAAAAAGCTCATCTTTTGAGGATTAGATATCCTTGGTAGCAGATTTTCTTATAAGTTTAGAGTAGGCCAAAAAAAGATTCATTAACAGTTTATAAAGATTAGTACAAGTACCATCATTCTGTTCATAATTAGCAGTTCAGTTCATTGAATCTTAAGTTATTGAATCTTAATATGACTAAATGGTTTTGATTTCCTATTAAGAAACATGACATCATAA